GATTATGGTGAGCAATTAGAATGGAAGAGGCAGACATGACACAGCTGGAGTTGTTTTAGATAAAATCAGAGTAAAAAGGTCGGTATAACTCAAGGTGTATTTCCTACTGCTTACATGTAGGGTTCTTTAAAACCAGTTCCTGACCTTCATTCAGTTATTATTTTATATTATGAAAGCTATGTGGAAAACCAGCCTTACTGACAAAGTAAGCAAATCAGGGATGAATCCAAGATAAAGGAACAGATTAATTTTCTGTCCTATGATAAACAATTGTGCATGGGTGATGTGCAGGAGAGCATAAATGGGAAGACACCTCAGCTCTGTTCATGCATCACTCATGCATCGGACATTGCTGTATTTCGTTTGGCAGGGGAAGGGGTGGTTTTAGGCTCATGCCAACATCATAACCCCTTCCTTCCCAAGCTGTATGGGGAAGAGCTCAGTAATAGAGCATATGTTTTGCACACACAATGCCCCTGGTTCAAGCCCATCATCTGCAGGAAGGGAAGATCCCCATCTGAAATCCGGGAAAGCTCCTGCAGGTCAGTGTAGGCAACCCTGTGGTTGATGCCCACAGTTGTCTTGGAAAAGGCCCAAATGTGGGATTAGATGCTTGCTTGTTGTGTCAGCTATGCAACCATGCCAGGGAAAGGATAGAGAACCCTTGGATCTCTAGGATCTAAAGACATATTGTTACCTGGACATGCCCACAGATTTAGCCCTGGAGCTGATGTCGTTAATTTCCCTTCCAGTGAAGTCAAGGGGAGAATGGTATGACACTGCTTGACATGTACGGTGTAGCTGTACCTTCCAACGCCACCTCCTGTTATAGGGTTTGCCCCCAAGACATCAACTCTCTTGGCCCACTAGCTTTTGCTGACAGGTCCAGAGCTTCACCTACCTGCGCAAGCAGTTACGAAATCACTACGGATTCACAGAGTTCTGTGTATCCCCATTGCATAGGTCCAGGTGGAAATATTCATTAAACTATCTGAAGTTCTGGACATTAATTAAAACGATTGCTTATTCATTTGATTTCCAAAGCTCTTTCATACGTACTGGGAAAGAAGATTTGGAAACTGGATGAGAGGTGTTGCTGGCTGATATATGCACACAGATGGCTCCTGCACATTAAGGATGCAGGAAGGGACGGGGAGGGGGGAAAGGAGTACAACATCTTAATAAAGTTTCACATCTGGCAATGAAATATATTTTAAAAGTTCAAATATTAAAGTGGCAGTTGTGTTATTTGCTGTAGTGCAATGTAACATGCAACACAAACCATTTCCTGAGGGCAGGATCCAGGAACAGCATTCTGAATGACTAGGGCTGCCTAATAATAATAATAATAATAATATAATAATAATAACAATAACCCTTCAAAAATGCTTTTGCCTACTATTGTGCCTTTTCCAGCACAGTTTCAGTGAGTTCCACAGCAAGTTGGGTATAAACCTCACAAATACCTTATTGACTTCTTTCTAGCATCTGCTTCTCTTGCCATATACTACATTGTTCTTGTTCAATTTGCACTGACTTCAGATTTATTCCTGGGCCCAATTCGAGGTGCTAGTCCATGTTAGTGTACTTGTGGTTCTTTATTAATCGTTCCCCCCCACACACACACACAAACTGACTAACATTAAAAACAAGTATACAAACAAAAGTAAAACCAAACAAGAAAACAAAAATCCAAGCTAAACTGCTCAACAATAACATGTGTAAAAGGGCTGATCCAACTCAACCCAACCCACTAAAAAGACGAACAGAGGAAGAGGCCACACACACACTTTAGTCTCAAAATTAACTTCCAAAAGCAAGCTAAGGTGAATAAAAATGTTTTTGTCTTCTTGTCACTAAAAACAGATAGTGATGGTGCTAGGCATGCCTTATTATATCTGAAGCATTTAATAGTTGAAGACTACAATATTTGAAGGTCTGCTTCCCTCCAAATGTACCTGACCATCAGGTAAGGAAGACTGTGAGATGGGGCCTTTTCAGTGGCAGACCCGCTGCCAATTGTGGAATTGCTTCCCAAGCAAAGTTAGACTTGCTCCTTCTGAGTGGTCAGTTTAGATCCTGTAGTTTTGCCTGGTCTTTAGTGCGTGTTTGAGTTTTAGCTAGTTATGGCTTTTTCTATCTGTTTTATTGAGTCTTTTTAAGTGTGTTGGTGTTTAATTGTTTTCAGTTGACTACCTGGACTCTTCTTAGAGCTGAAAGGCAGTATAAAATATACCGTATGTACACACTGTACATACCTGTATACATATATATATATACACACACACACACACACACACACTGCATCACATCTGGTATAATATTAAACTTGTTTGTGGTTGCATACAGTCCCTGACCTCATTTCATCCTAGCTCCTCCTAAAGCAGCCCAATTCTTCTGTCCCATTAGAGTTTCTTCTTTCCTGTTCATTTCCTCCTTATTTCCCCCAGCTTTCTAAAGTGGTTTCCCTTCTTTCCCTCTTTCAGTTAAAAGGGGCAATATTTTATTTTATTTTTAAAGAATGATTTACTTTTTTCTAGTTGAAAAAAGCCCCAGCTCTCTGAAAGCAAATCAGTAGGCTTCTGCCAGGTGTGTGTCTCACACAAGGACATTACTTTCACTTGTTTTCCTGAGCTATATTGGTCTGTTATACAAAAGAAAAGCCTCTGGAATCTTATTTGGGAGTAATCTCTTAAACCCAGTGCATAGGATGGAGAATATTCTGTAGGGAATATTGAAGCAGAATGGTCTTTCTTCTAGATTAGTTGATCTAGGATACCTTTGTCTCTCCACCCATTATCAGCTCTCACTCTAGCCACCACCAGTATGCTGCCTCCAACAGATTACTCCTCAGGGAATGTGGCCCTCAGAAAAAAAGGCTGACCATCCCTGTTCCAGACCTTTCACATATACATACAAAGACTTGAGTAATGTTGGCCAATGGCAGCGCAGCTTTCAACTTGTAAGAGATATGTGATTCCATCTTTTCTATCTTTATGTTCCCAGCATTGACATAAACATTATCTTGATGCATAGACATTACCAGTTCAGCTGCAATGACTAGTTGAAAGTTGAAATGATGGCAGGGCAGGCCTAGTCCTTCTGAACCCAAAGGTAATTAGCAAGTTTAGTAAGTGTGTGTACATAGCGTAGTGCTTCACCCACCATGCCTGGAAAACATCATTCAATAAGAGTGTTCAGCTCATGTGAAACAACTGCCGGGCCAGCATCACAATACATTCCAGAGAAGAAACCATTTTCCGTACTTCACTTTCCATCTCTGTATGTTATTATAAAAATTGTGTTTCAGTCTAGAACAAGGGGGCATCATTTTATGCTTTTGGGTCCTGGTGTGAAATTGTCTAAGGTCATTATTTCAACACACACCTTTGTTCACAATCAATATTATTTTCTAGTGGGTTTCTGTGTGAGGAAGGATTCTTGTGAATGGCCTAAGTCATGTGACAAACCAGTTTGATTCAACCCATTGATTCGATGATTTTTCACTAAGTGTTCATCTACCGAGCAAAACCATACAAACCCACTGGAGCTATCAAGCACTGTTGACTTGAATGTGCAAATGGTTGTGAGCACCCACCTTCATCCTCACTGATTCCACTGATAATATTTGCTCAATTGTTAACTCTGCACAAGTTCTGTTTAGCCTGGAAAGGAAGAAGAAACCCAGACATTGTTGTTGTGTGCTCCTGGTGACACCCCACATACAGTCACATACACCAAAAGATAGATTGCCCTGCTGTGCACCAGCTGCAGTTTTGCAATGGACTTCAAGGGCAATCTCCTGCGGAGATCATTACAGTTGTGAAGGCCTAAAGCTCAAAGGCACAAATTATGGCTTCAATGTGTGGTTGCAGAACAAGAGACTGTCACCTTCTCACCACGTAGAAGTGATGAGAAATAATTCATCCATTCCATATCCCAAAATTCCCTGGTGAATCTTCGCACAGCCATCCCACACTGAAATTCCTTTTTAGCCAAATCTTATATTCACTCTTCAGTTTTATTATTGGATTTGGCTTCACTGAGCTCACACACTTCAGTATCCCGGCTATAGCTAGAACCTGCATAAGAATGCAAACTGAGAGACAGAGGCACATGGCTACTAGGACACCAGACACGCCCCAGGAATAAATGATTCCTTACATCAAGTTTCTTCCTGCTCATTTAGGACAGTATTTGACACTAGTCCTACACAGAGTAGACCTGTTGAAGTTAGTAGACATGCTAAACTTAAGTTCATTAATTTGGATGGGTCTACTCCAAACAGGATCTAGCTGAATACAACCCTCACCTATCACATACAAATAATTATATTATTTTCTCTTAATTTTTATTAAAAATACATCAAGAGAAACATCCTTCTCTTGATGTGTTAATCTTATAGCTGATTATATTTGACCCCTCAGAATTTGACTAAGCAGATGTTGAATGGTTATCAAATGAAGATCTAAACACATTGCTAGTTTAGGTTATTTTTTTCTTTCCCATTTCTTAGTAGAGAGTTAAACTTCACTATTTTAGTGTACAGTGTTCTTGTGACAAGTATATTTTAAAGAACATCTTTTGCATTTCTTCTTCATAGATATTCTATATGCCCAATTTCTAATTTCCGTCGCCTGTCTGATCAATTTTGGCAATGACGTAAATTTTAAGGTGAATTAAGAAATATTGAGGACAGTTATAGTTTACAGGATTTTTAAAGCAGGGCATGTGTCTACTCACTCTTTTAACCAGCTTAATTAACTAGTATCCTTCCTGGAGCCCACAAACTTTTGATGAATATGAATAGGCTTATTGATGTTTGTAATTATGAACTTTGAATCCTGTTGATGAGCAAAGAGACCAGCAAAGGGGGAGTAAATCCTGCTGCATTTATGGATGGGCATCAAAGTGTATATAAAGATGGAACCTAAAGGTGACAGCAACTAGATATTCCATCTTCTGTTTGATAAAGCAAGTCAGCAGAGATGGTTTCTACCATGACCAACAAGAAGTTTTCGCTGAAAGGTACGTGTTTTGCCACTCTGTTGGCCTTTCTCTCATTTAGATTAAGGGGAAATTTTAAACTGAATAAATTTAAAATCACTCGTAATAGGCATGCATAAGCACACTGTAAGTCATTTTGCAGCCTCTGTAACAACGCAGGGAGGGAACCTTCTTAGAACTTTTGCACAAACTCTTCTAAAGGTACTGCACAATGTCACACTGTGCACTAGAGAATATTCTGGTGGATCATGATCAATTTAGACCCTCACACTATACTTGGTGCATTTTCCACAAAGGAGAGCATTGATTCTTCTCAATTCTTATAGCTGAACAACATATTAAACCATAATTTGCTACAATTATGCTCTTCCTTGAAATATAATGGGACATAATGTAGCATCATGCCTTCACCTTGCTGCAACCCAAGACTCGTTTGGTAACAGCAGCAATCTAACGTAATGAACCGTGAACTTCTATGCATTCCAAAGTTAAGTCCCACTGAGTTTAGTTTGATTTACTCTTGTGTAAGTATGCAAAGGAATGATCTGAGAGTATTAAAACTGCATATGGTGTGGCTTTTCATTCGGCTCAGCAATGTCTCTCACCTTCTTTTTTTTACTCAAAAAAGATTTCTAGTGAACTCAAAAAGTTTGTTCACAACTTGATGGTGTTTTCATTGGTATTGATAAAAGCATAGCACTACTGTTGCTGTTTGGATCATAACTGTGCAGTTGATCATGACCAATCAGTCCCAGTAGAAGTCTTCCAGATTGAGGTCTAAGACTGGCTTTACACAAATAGCCAGAACACAAGACGTTGAAAATTGTGTGTCTGTACTAATATCAGCAGATAAACATAACTGAGGTTCAGAGCAGAGGAAGCTATTTTATAGCAGGTCAGCCTATCTGTCAACACAGACCAGTATTGTCTTGTTTACTCTGACTAGTTATGGGTTTCTAGAGTCACATTAAAGGAAAAGGGACCCCTGACCATTAGGTCCAGTTGTGACCGACTCTGGGGTTGCGGCGCTCATCTCACTTTATTGGCCGAGGGAGCCAGCGTACAGCTTCCGAGTCATGTGGCCAGCATGACTAAGCCGCTTCTGGTGAACCACAGCAGCACACGGAAATGCCGTTTACCTTCCCGCCGGAGCGGTACCTATTTATCTACTTGCTTTTGAACTGCTAGGTTGGCGGGAACAGGGACCAAACAACGGGCGCTCACCACGTTGCGGGGAATTGAACCGCCGACCTTCTGATCGGCAAGTCCTAAATACCTTAACTTTCTACTGGCAATGCCAGGGGTTGAACCATGGGACCTTCTGCATGCAAGGCATATGCTGTATACCTGAGCTATGACTTCTCCTAAGAATGGACCCATATCATAGTACATTTATTATAGACTTGTGCCTTAAAGCATAGTTTAGGCAAATATAAAATCAAAACATTTGCGTTTCACTGATCAGTTTCTTTGCTGCACGCTTCTTGCATAGCAAAGGTATGGGGACCATTTTTAAGCAACATACAGATTTACATGATATTAAAGATTTGGAAGGGGGGGCGGGTCTTAAAGTATAAGCAGTGTTTGCAGAACTACCTTCCCAAGGCATCCAGGAGTCTTTTGAATGCATTCCAGTGTGCTAAAGTTTTTTTTTTGTAGTCCCGTTACATATGCAGAAGAGTTTAAACGGCACAGCTGCTGAAAATTTGCAGACATAATCCCAGGACAATCAAAATCTTGGGAGTGACCCCGCCACCCTCCTTCAAATTTAATTTAAATACCATATGTTTGTAGGGAAGGAAGCAACCCTTGGGAAAAGCCAGAAAGAAAGGGGCGCAACCTATCTTTCCACACTCTTACATTTATGCAAACACAATTACATATCTATAAAAAGTTGGTTTCCTCACATATGGTGGTTTAATGAAGTTAAGCATTAAAGGAGGAGGCAGAATAATGTGGAAAGTTTCCCATTCACTTTCTGGACTTGATGGACATCTGATGTTGTTGTTCTTGTTTACCTGAACAGGTGTGTTGCTTGCCATCCTGGCGATTACTAACGTGTACCTGTCAAGGAAGGGTGTAACATCATCACCTATTTGTCCCAATGGGTCTGACACTTGCCAGGTCTCTCTTGGGGATCTTTTTGACCGTGCTGTCAAACTCTCACACTATATCCACTCCCTGTCTTCAGAAATGTTCAATGAATTTGTAAGTACCCAAGCCTTTCTTGCCATATACTTTTCTACAAAATGAACTCCAACTAAAAGATGACATGAAGAAATGGGGGAGGGGGGACTCTCTAGCAAAGGGGAATTGGTGGCTGACTTTCTGTTTGCTTCTGCCTCCCTTTCAGAATAGGAAATTGCACAAATATGGTGCTAAGTACTGTTATGATTATTAGGCGGTGTTTGACTAAGAGATGCTCAGAGAAATCAATGGGCTTTGTATGCTATTTTTAGACAACCTTTCATCCTGTAGGACCCCAGAGTGATGTGCAAGTAAGAATATAAAAGCAAACAATAACATTAAAAACCACAACATCCAGCCATTCAGCAGTAGATATGAAAATGGACATCAAGGCTTATGCCACCCTCAGTATACCAGAGTGAAGAACATCACTGCCTACAGTCACAGGAAGAGAGTTATAACTACCTTAAGTCCACCAATGCCAATGGGTCTTCTCTGAGAATGACTTGGTTGGGTACCACCCATTATTTGGAAAGGCCAGTTGGATAAATCTACCTTGAATGTAAACTGTGGTACCTTGGTTCTCAAATTTAATCCGTTTTGGGAGTCCATTTGACTCCCAAAACCGTTCGAAAACCAAGGCACAGCTTTCAATTGGCTGCAGGAGCTTCCTGCACCCAGGAAGCAGAAGCCACGTCGGACATTCGGCTTCCGAAAAATGTTCGCAAACTGGAACACTTACTTCCGGGTTTGTGGCATTCAAGCCAAGGTACGTGTACGTGTGTGTGTGTGTGTGTGTGTGTGTGTGTGTGTAAAACATTTCTTGACCACCCTTCATCTGAGGATCACGGGGCAGTTTACAATATAAGACCATACACATATGGAAGCCAAGTATGATTGAAATAGAAATAAAGACTCACAGGTTCTTTTGTGTATCATCATCAAAGCTGTATAAACTGTCCCAACTATATTAAGTCTTAATTAATAATATTTAATTTTTCTAAAGCAGTATTAAGGATTGAGGAGAAAGCTATGCACACTTGAAATGAATTTCAGCAAGACACTGTATTTAAGGCTTCAATTGCAGATGAGGAAATGCAGGAATAAAGATTCAGGATTTTACTTCAACATATACCTCAGCAAGCAACGCTCCTACACACCTTAAGACGCCTTAGGTTTAAGAAGTGGGAGTGAGGCAGGTTAGGAGGTCTTCTTCAATAGGTCCAGCGTACCAAAGGAAAGAGACGCTCTTAGGAGGCACAACAGCAGCAACACATGGGCGTGATTGAATAAAACACTGCCATTTATACACAGAAACCATTTAGAGGAGCAAAACAAAGTAACAAAGGGTTTTTTGAGTGGAATGCTTTGTAGGAGAGAAGCAATTAAAAGACCCAGGCACTAGAGTAGTGCTTTGGAGTGTGGCAGAGAGGTATTGAGAGAGAAATGTTCATCCCACACAACTCAGTGGGATCACAGTCTACGGATCACTTTACGAAACAGAGACCCTCTTATTTATAAGCAGATTACGGAGAAACCTGATCCCCAAAAGTGATTCTTTCCACAGTACAGTTTAAAGCAAATTACATTTGACACAGTCTTAGAGGGGCGTGTAATAAGGTTCTGATACGAAATTAAAGTCCTGCATAACTGAAGGATACATTTCACACGAGCAGCAACTGCAAAGAAGAAGTAACTTCTGATTATTATTTCTTCTTACTACTACTTATTCTTCTTTCCTTGTTATCTACTGTACTAAGTCTGATTTTTCTTATCTTCAGGATGAACGCTATGCTCAGGGCCGAGGGTTTATTGCAAAAGCCATTAACAGCTGCCACACTTCGTCCCTAACCACTCCTGAAGACAAGGAACAAGCTCAGCAGATTCATGTGAGTTCTGCCTATTTGAATGCAAACAGAACAAGAAACAAGCACATGAGTAGCTTAGATTAGAAGGTCTCAATGACTCAGTCCAAAGGCAAACAGAAGGAAAGGAGGACACATTAAATGGCCATAGGAAGTCTTGCAAGGCATTAATCTACAAGGCATTAATCCTTGGCTGAATCCAGGGCCATGATTATTTTAATTTAGTCCCCACTGTAATCAGTGGGACAAGTTAGGAATACCTTGGGTGGGTGGAGCCAGAGGCAAAAAGCAGGTTTGATTTTGATTTTATTTTGATTTATTGAATTGCTGTGCCGCTTTTCATTCAAATGAATCTCAAAGCTGCTTACAAACAATAAATAACAATAACATAACAGAGCATCCCAAACGCAGCATAAATAATATAATTAACAAATCATCTATGAAATATTTACAATTATTTAACAAAACGGCAACTAAAAAAATAAGCTAAACGACACAATCACAACAAAAGTCATATTATATTAACAAATCAATACAACATTTAGAATCCATAAAACAATATTAACAAAATAGCAACTAAAAACAACAACAAGCTAAGCACTGTTAAATTAATAGACACACACGCCACACCCCCAACACTCTATTCAGTTCACAATAGAAGACACATCATGCCTGCTGTTAAGCCAGCTTTGCCGGATGCTGTGCTGGCTGGGGTCCTCAGGTAGTGAGCCATCGTGGAGACGGTGGGCGTACTGCAAGGTGGATGTTACCTCCGGGTAGCCTGCTCTGGCTCTGTTGCCCATGTCGCTCTCGGTAATCGGAAGATCCATTCATAGTCAAGAAAGTCTGGGGTGAGCCTGTCCCTCTGAAGTGGCGAGGTGGGGCAACAGATGTGATGCCTACCTCTCTACAGTCAGCTATATTCTAGCCATGCAAACGTCATGTCTCAATCTTCCATCCTGACAGTAAGCAAGAGGCATTATCACAGTGCAAGGTGACATTCTTGCTAGGCAAAAGAACTTGAGGACATGAAAAAGTGATGGTGAGTGTTGTGGCCTGGGGTAGATGTGTGGCCTGTGGAAAGTCCCAAAGCCTGTTCTTCAGGCCTGATATCTATTCTGTTCCAAGGAAAGAGGTGTGACTTTCTGGTAAAGGAAGGCAGGAGTACAACTGACAAAGGCAAAGAGAGAGGAAGAGTAGTGGATATCAACTGTCAAAAGTATATAGTGTGTCATATAATTTCCCCCAGTATGTTAGCTTATAAAATTTAATAAGCATCTTATTAAAATAATAATTATTTTTTAAAGTAAGTTTCTAGTCCATACACTTGTCAAGGTAATTAGAATTCGTGGGAAAAATTATATTTGTAAATGCTGAAGTAGCATATAGCACCAAAGCTGCATCGATTCCCAGGCAATAGTTTTCTTTCTAAGTTCCCTTTATCCACGGAATAATCTGCCTCCTCAGAAACCAAGCCATGAGACACAGCCCTCTTGCTATTTGTATTGGCTTAGAGAGATGATGTGTGAGCATTTGAACTTCGCAGTGTTGCAGTTCTCCCGACCTATGGAGCGCGAAAGGGTTCAGCCGCAGGGTACGTGTATTTTGCCACAGTAAGCAAAGTGAAAAGTGTTGGTGTCGACATTAGAGAGGTCTCAAGGGCAGCAAAATGTCTAGGAGGATCCCAGGAAAGAAAAGGCCCCTTTGATCTTCCGGCTCACCCCAAGCAGTGGCAAAGTTTCAAAAGAAATCTCCCCAGAAGCAAAACACTTCAAAGGGGAATGAGACCCATGCCTGGGCATGTTTGCCATGCTATACGTAGACATAGAAATGCTTTGGATAAGGTATTAAGTGGCCTACCACAGATTTCATCTTCCATTATGTTTTCAAATATTTTCCAGATCCCGTATTTCTAAAACTGTCTCATTAATGCTTAAACTAATCATCAGATTAAAGGGCATTCCATTCAACAAGGCTGAACAGAGCAGTGTCTACCAGCGCTGGAGAGTGCATGGCCAGTTTGTTGATAATGTGTACTTAGGGGATTCTGTCACCCAGTTAGCCCAGAGATATTATTTCCATTTATTTATTTTAAAAAATATTTCTCTACCACTCTCTCATAGAATATCAGGGAGGTGCACAGTGCGTATATAAATACATGCAAAAGCCATGAAAAACGGAGTAATCGTTAAAGTAACTGGCTAGTCAAAGGGATTTAAACAGCTGCATAGGTCTGTCAGCATTTTAAAAGTCACCAGGAAATGTTTGGAAGTCAAAAGCAAGAATGCCTACTGAATCTCTCACAGCACAGGACCAGTCACACTAAATGCCCCACTTCTGGAAATACTTTACAAAGTCTGATTGATTGGTTCTAGCGCTGTCTGGAAGAATGGCAAACAGACAACAACAACAACTGTTGCTGTTGTTGTTTTCTATCCTGCCCTTCCTCTTGGAGGAGCCAAGGATGACAAACACCAAAACAATAAAACTTTTAGTTAAAAATTAAAAACCATTATTTAAAACCATTTAAAACCACTAAAATATGTAAAACAGTCACATACACTCACAGCTTATAATTTCAGGGTTGCCAGGAGACTTTCCACCAAAAAATGCCTATGTAAATAGGAACAGACACATCTCACCAGGAAAGGCATTCTACAAATGGGGAACCAACACTGAGAAGGCCCTATCACAGGTCAACATCAACCAAGCAGTAGCCTATAGAGTGTAATCACTAATCCAGCCTCCCCTGTTGATCATTGGCGCCAAGGTGGTTGGTATCGAGGGAGATGCTCTTTTATGTACTTCCAAGCTGTTCAGGACTTTGTACACCAGTATGAACACCTTGAATTGGGCCCAGTAGCTCACTGGCAGCTAGTGCATGATACATGGTCCCATTGGGCTGCCCCACTTACCATCCTAGCAGCTGCATTCTGCACTAGCTGTAACTCCAGACAGTCTTCAAGGGCAACCCCAACCAGGATGCATTACAGTAGTCCTGGCAGGAGTCCAGGACAACTGAGGTCAGGCTAGAAGACTGTCAACAAATAAGTTTAAAAAATGACTTGCTAGGATTATCTATCTCCTGTGTAAATCTTGTGGCATTGTTTAACAAAATATAATTTGGTTTTCTAATGTGCAGCATGAAGACCTGCTAAATTTAGTGCTGAGTGTTCTCCGTTCCTGGAATGACCCTCTGCTACATCTGGTCTCAGAGGTCCAAAGAATCAAAGAGGCTCCTGACACCATTCTCTGGAAGGCCATGGAGATTGAAGAGCAAAACAAACGGCTTCTGGATGGGATGGAGAAAATCGTTGGGAGGGTACGTAGAAAGGACCTGGGAATTCTTCTAACTGCATAGGACAGTATTCTGCAGAATCCAGCATTCTAAATTACTCAGTGAGCCTGGACAAGTGCTCCAAACACACACTCTCAGATGGTCAACCTCCAAGAACTGGAAAATGACAGAAATGACAACAAGGGGGTGATAAGTTACCATAAGCCCTAGATTGCATATGTCCAAATGAGGGCAAGTTCTATCATTCATTCTGCCTGTTATGCAGGCTCTTTCTTCTTTTTAACACCCTTCTCTATTTCCTTCCCTTGAACTAATTACACAATATCAGGTGGAGCACTACAGCAATCTTATTCTTTCCTTTAATAATAGTGTGTTCTAAGAAAGGCTATAACCCACTATTCTATAATTAACATGTCTCTTTGGAACACACTCTCTCCCCCCTTTGGGTTTTTAAATCAGTGCTTTTAGGGCCTATTGCTCAATTTGAAAACAGGCAATACAAGTTGATCGCAACTTCTAGATCGGTGGCCCACCAGATGTTGTTGGATCCACCTCCCAGCCAGCACGCCCAATGCTCAAGGGTGGTGGAAACTGTAGTCCAAAAACATCTGGAGGGCCACAGGTTCCCCACCCCAATTTGGATGGTTCCCTTCACAGGAAAGAAGGTAATGTTTTCATCTCTTCCCTACTCTAGATATTGGCTCCAATCCAACACAGTTAAGACTATTCAAGCCTATAGATTTCAGAAAATTAGGAAAGCTGCAACCATTTGAGTGCACAAATGCTGCTAGCTCCCAAAGAAAATTCGGTGTGCTTTCAAAACAAGGCAGCTATCCTTTGGACAAAGGAATTCTAATTTGAGTGCTATATTTAAAGTTCTGTTCTCATGCCTGAATACTTCCATATCACCCAAGGGAGTCACTGTTTCATCATGAAAGCTAATAGTACGGCATTCTATTTACAGATACATACATATAAATCCTGGGAAAGCACTTTGCACAGCAGAGTTGCAATGTAAATGAGTAATAATCATGGAGATCAATTCAAGTGGTTGAAGCATGAGCTGTTTCTTTCTTCTTTTACTGTCTGGAGCAAATATGTTGAGATGGGGTTTTCCCCCACAATTCCATTTGGCTTTCGTAAAGCCTAAGCAAGGATCTTCTCTCATCTCAAACAAATACTGGGCAACTCTTTAAGTGTTAATGTTGTAATTCTCTAAATAGTGATCTGAAACAGACATTGTCTCTGGGATGCTTGCTAACGATACACATTTTTCTCTTCTTCATTAGGTTCACCCAGGTGACCTGGGTAATGAAGTCTATTCTAGATGGTCGGGGCTGCCATCTCTGCAGCTGGCTGACGAAGATTCTCGCCTCTTTGCCTTCTACAATCTGCTGCACTGCTTGCGCAGGGACTCACACAAAATTGACAGCTATCTGAAACTCTTGAAGTGTCGCCTCATCCATGACAGTCACTGTTGAGCAATTGGAGCTAGCACCTAACGCCTTCAAAAGGACCTGCTCTTAGCCTCATTGCTTTTCACTGCCCATTGCAGGCCTTACGCAAAAAATCATCCTGTGGTACAATATTTATGTCCATGTTATTTTTCCTTTTGTGAGATGCAAACCATTTGTTTGTGTCTGAAAACTCTCAGAAAAGCCATTCTTTTCTGTTAAGAGTACATTACTGTCTGCTTTAATCACAGTGATATGCAAACCATGCAATAAAAACATAAAAATACTGAAATATAAAAATATGTTTGAAATTGAACTTGGTTTTGCTTCCTCCTTTGGTTACCAACATCTGGGGAATTGTGGCCAGAGACTATGGAGCTTGTGTACAACTGATGCTCCACTCAGCCAAGGAAACTAAGTGCAGATATATATTTTTTTCCAGAAGCTGTACTGTCTACCATCAGGAATATCAGAAACTCTTCTTTGTAAAGAATCTGGGTGGCCAGCAATTAAGGCAAGAATAGACTGTGCTCAGTTAAAGTATATTTTTAAAAATTGCTACAATGCCTACAGAGCATTTTCCTGCTCTGTGCTATATGGAATTGGATGATAACAAACTCTGGAAAGCAGCTTATCAATATGTCTTGGAGTTGACTATTATTACTATCCAGAACAGAGCTCTGCTTTGACCAACAAAGGGATTGGCTCTTGTGGGTAGAATCCAGAAGGGACCTGCAAATAATTAGAAACATCAACTTTCCCCCTTGGTATTAGCTCTTAAGAACAGAGCATTTTAGAGCTAGTTATCTGTCCAACTCTCACCAACTTTCTTAAGAAACACTTTTGTTGAGCTCTGTTTCCAAGTGATGACCACTGAAGTCTTGGATAGGCACTACAGTGGTACCTTGGGTTACAGACGCTTCAAGTTACAGACTCTGCTTACCCATAAATAGTACCTCAGGTTAAGAACTTTGTTTCAGGATGAGAACAGAAATCACGCGGTGGTGGCGCAGCAGCAGCAGCATGGCAGCAGCGGGAGGCCCCATTAGCTAAAGTGGTACCTCAGGTTAAGAACAGTTTCAGGTTAAGAATGGACCTCCAGAACAAATTAAGTTCTTAACCCAAGGTACCACTGTACAAGGTCCCATACACAGACAGATTTTGCATTTGTGGTCAGCCTCAGGTGGAAGACATCACTCACCATCTGTTAGCATGCCCTTTACATAGAGACCCAAGGAATCACTTTCTGAAACCTTTGTTCACAAAGCAAGCAAGCTGGAACACCCCAGCAGAAATGATCTTGTATATTTTGAGTGACAATAATAGATTCATAGCACAAGAGAGTGGCCCTCTATGCATTGACTGCAAAAAAAGAGGGGGGAAAACAGGAAAAAGGAATTTGATGAAATCACTATAAACTGTTGTGATGATTCAGTGATTCAGAAGTTTAATTTGAAATCAAGCTGGATTTGAGTTTCCTTGCGTCTCTGGTAACTTCTCACTTACATCATGGATGCTGCTGGCCAAGGAAACTCTCTGGGGATTATACAGTGATGGTTGGATCCGGCTTCCAGTCTGCATCTCTGGGTTGACCATGGCAGGGGATGAGCATCATTTTGACCTTTCACTTTAACTGAGAAAATATCCACAGTTTCTAACTAGCTCTGTGCCAGACTCTGGACTTACTCTGAAAACAAATGGGATGTCCAGATACCTTTGTGGATTGTGGCTGGATCATTTTGCTCCCCCAAAGTCCCCAGACAGGGTCTTTGAAAGTCTGATTCACACTACCCAGGCATATTGCACTTCAGCCTTCACACCGGTGAAGGACTAAGGGGCAGGCAGAACATGTATTGCATGGAGAGACCAGGCTTCCAATTCTACCAACAAGGCTGTCTTGTACCTTGGTCACTCCACCCTACTCTACCACCCAAGGCAGGTGTGTGCCAGTTTTATTGCAGAAATGCATACAAAGCAACCTCAGTCATGTGCTGGAAACAGTTTTACTGGGAGCTGTGCAAACAGCTAAATTTAGTTCCCGTACTAAAGGAGCTTAAAGCAGGCAAGCTTCTAAATTATTCTTAATGAGACCACTGTAATGATCCCATGCCTATACCTAGATTACCTAGCTCTGATAAAGCTAAAACTCAAATATTTGGACCAAACCTTAAGCTGCATCCTCTCTTAAATTCCAAAAAGGTTGCCCAGACTTTCCATTTCTGCAAGATTTGCACGTCCTTCTGCATTCCACAGCATAAAATAAGACTAATAAATGTTTGTACTGTGCTTGTAACATGGATAGAAGTAGGAAGTCCTGATAATCTTACCAGAGAGGCCCCTTTCTTGGAAATTTCTGACCTGTTTTGTGCAAGCAAAGGAACTTGTGGTGGTTCAGACCAAACGTCTAGATGCTTTATCATCCCAGTCCTGTCCTTAGAATGGTTTTGAAGTGTGTGCATCGTTTCAATGTGGCTTATGCCATTCTACAGTGCAAAGGCTGCTTAATTAATTTGCCTGCCTTTGGTACTTGCAGCAGGACCAGTGGGTCACAGAGATTTTGGTCCCTTCTGCCAGACTTAGTGCCAACAAAAACCACGCAGGAAATCTTTAATAGCAGACCCAGTCAGAAGCAGATAGCTTAAACGGGGCTGGTGTTTTTGTTCCTGGTGTATCTAAAGGATGAAACAGAAATAAAAAGCAATGGTTTGTTCTTTGTAATATTGAAATGGAAGACTTTGTCTCGTCGCCTGTCAGAAAAAAGCTACTTCTTAAGTATCACACGAGCACAGAAAGTGCATAGTGACTTCTGAGTTTTCTGAATAACTTTTTGTGTGTGCAATGGATGATACTAGGGAAATGTTTTGAACTATTTGTGTGGAATTATGGGGACTGAGGTTACTTTTCTTTTCATCAGAGAGTCTTCCAGGTCAGTGTATTGTGTACAAGACAGCCCAATGCAGGGGGGGGGGAGTTCAAATGTACTTATTTTTAGCAGGTGCTAGACAACAATATGATGCTGCTTTCATCTAAGAAGAGAAAGATGCAAGTTATGTCAACACATAGCTGGGTATGGGCCACATGACAACCAAAACCTTTAACCTGAAATCAGGCACTGGCATAGCCAGAGCAACAATGAGTTCAAAGTGAAAGTATGACATAGAATTCTCACAGTTGGCATTTCTGAGATGTGAAGAACACTGGTAGGAAAAATGGGAGATGGCAGAAGAGAAAATGGCCCTGCAGTCTCACTTTGATGTGTGATACCTGAACCAGCTGCTGAAACTGTTGTCCGTAAGGACCTCACTGGGCAGCCTGCATGGAACCACTCTGTACACATGCAATGTTAATTATTTTCATTTGTATTCTGTTTTTACTCCAGGAAGCTCAAGAGAATTTTACACGGCAAGCCTAAGAAGTTTGCTTATCTTGACAGTTCGGAGTACGTTCCAGGTTGCTGCTGGATGTGTTTTAGTTGACACGGAAGTTATGCTTGTTGTATCTGAGCTCTGATTCCTCATCCACACACGCAGGTCTTCGCACCATGTTGAACACCTGTGCAAACAAGCCAACAGCAACTTGCTCAAGCAGCAGAATGAACCTGGGTTCCTGGGGCTGCCTTTGAAGACAGCATGGAAGCTTAGATAATAGACTCATAGAGTTAGAAGAGACCCTAAGGACCATATTGTCCAACCCCCTGCAATGCAGGAATATGCAGTTGTCGCATACAAGGATCAAGCCTGCAACTATTAACAGAAACAGGAAGGCATGAATATATAACACTGGTGTACTGACTACTAATAAGTTTCTGGCTCAATTCAAAATACTAATTTTGATGTTAAAAGTTTTATATGGCTCAGGACTCTGATGCAAAGGACTGCCACTTATATCCATATAAACCTGCATGGGGACTGCATTTGTCACCTGAGCTCCTTTGCAGTATGGAGGAGGATGAGCAGAGCATGTGTGTTTTCTCTTAATAGTCCCTCATCTTGAAACACTCTCCTCAAGAAGCACACCCATTGGCACCCGGTTAAAACTTTCATAATATCTGGGCATATTGGACAGCTTCAATTATACTGATACAGCAACTCAATCCAGGCTTCAGGCTACAGTTGTTCTTCTTCTGACATTGCCTAGTACTTGAATACATTTAAACTATATTTTATTGTATACTGTAAATTGCTTGAAGGTGCTTTTTTGAATTTTAGCATAAAATGATATAGTCCAAACTGAAATCATTACAAAGACAGTTCCACCACAGTTATGAAGCTAGAATCAAAGGCAGTGTTTGTAGTTGTGTGCCTACAGCAGCCATTGTTCACATAGAGTAAAAATTTCACTAAACCTTCCGAATATGCTATGCAAAATAAGGTTAGATGGTACATGAAACTGTAAACCTTCACAAGATGCCTGAGGGAGAAAATTTGAGCAGTCGGCTCTTGCAAGCTACCAACTAAAGACGGAAGAGGAAAATATAGCATTTAAAAGCCTGGTTAAAGATTAACACAAAAAGCTATAAGAAGATTCTTAGGAAAGAATCAGGACAGCTGCAGCTGTATCTCAGCTACCTGCTGAGGGTTGCTAGGCAACTCAGGCCTACCACTGCCCCAAGGGCCTTTTATTTTACAATTAGGATCTCTGAAGGGGCTTTTTTGTTTTTTGTTTAAAAAGGACTTTTGCTCATACTTCTTAGATGTGAATAAACATTTCTGTTTTTAAATCAAGAAAAAATCGGAGTCAAATAGGGCCCTCTAATATTTGCTGCGTATGTGGTTTTCTTATAGAACTGACACACTCTGGAAACAATGTACACTTTTTAAATTGTGACATTTTGACTCTATGGGAGGAATTATTTGCTATTTGTTTTGAACAGAACCTTAGCTCATGTCAGATATGAACCTCCAGACAATCATTAGTTTAAACTGCCTGCTATGTGTTGAAAATTTTCAGTCAATTTAAAACTGATCTGAATTGCAAATGTGACGGTAATAAGCCATTAGGGAGCAAGCTACGTATCTCTTTTCTCTCACTTGCAACCATCTTCTTTAAGGGGCCTTTGGTGCATTGAAATATGAAAATGCCAGTTCAACCCTGCACATTGTCAACAAACATATAAATGGGGGGGGGGCAAATAAGGCTTAGTGGTGGATAAACACATCCACTTAGACGAGAACAAACCGGAAGATGCAACCACAGCAGAAGCCGTATGTGCTTTCTCTCCCAAAACAATTAGGCATGTTTCTAATAAAAATTAATCTCCATTTCTGGAATCTGACTGTAGCTAAGTTCTCCTCTCTCTTTTTTTGGAGTAAAGGCATAGTTTAGCTGAAGCATTTGGGAGGGAGTGCTCTAGAGTTCCCGTTTGGGAAGCCACATATTTGAAGGTTTTCATCCTTTTCCTATTCAAATTATTCATATACAGAAGAAATAATTCAACTGTCCATAGCATCATTGAAACAGATATAGTCCCATCTCACAGAAGTGGAAGTTCCAGAATGTCACTTCTCATAACTTTGAATTTCACGATGTCTACAGCTGCAGCTGTGATATTGCATGTTGACTGATAAAACCAGACATCTGCTGGATTCACTCAGGATAATCATGATGCCACTGGATTTCACCTAAGACCAGGGGCAGTTCTTTTGTCATGTATAATGGAAAGCGAACCATCAAATATGCACATGTGGGATGTTGCTGCCTAACTCCTGTGATGATGTGTAAATTCTCTGCACATGTGGAGGGGGGAGGGTGACCATGCTTGCCAGCTCATCCCCTCCTCATACCTGCACATTCACTGCCTGCCCACCCACCTCAAATTCAGAAGGCCACCTGAAAGGAGACCCTATTGAGCACCTAGCTGTATATACATAGGCATTCCACCCACTGGGAACCCTACACATCCTGGTTGCCCAGTCGGGTGGAGAGCTTATGCATGAACAGGGTTGCATGCATCAGCTCTTCTTTCCAATGCCCCATTCAACATATTGATACCAAGGTGGTGCAGCTGCCCCTCTCCTTGTGTTTGCTATACATGTACAGTCCTTAGATTTTCTGAAATGCTGCAAAAGACTTATTCATCATCTCTGAATATGTGTGCACCAAAGGACCACAGAGATATGAATACACAAATACATAATAACTAAAACTACATGTCCAGTTCTGTACGGACTGGGGAGTGCCATACCTCAATGTAGATTCTGAACTGAGGCTGCTTTTGATCAAATCTCCCATAGAATCATAGAATCACAGAATCATAGAGTTGGAAGAGACCACAAGGGCCATCGAGTCCAACCCCCTGCCAAGCAGGAAACACCATCAGAGCACTCCTGACATATGGTTGTCAAGCCTCTGCTTAAAGACCTCCAAAGAAGGAGACTCCACCACACTCCTTGGCAGCAAATTCCACTGTCAAACAGCTCTTACTGTCAGGAAGTTCTTCCTAATGTTTAGGTGGAATCTTCTTTCTTGTAGTTTGGATCCATTGCTCCGTGTCCGCTTCTCTGGAGCAGCAGAAAACAACCTTTCTCCCTCCTCTATGTGACATCCTTTTATATATTTGAACATGGCTATCATATCACCCCTTAACCTCCTCTTCTCCAGGCTAAACATGCCCAGCTCCCTTAGCCGTTCCTCATAAGGCATCGTTTCCAGGCCTTTGACCATTTTGGTTGCCCTCCTCTGGACACGTTCCAGTTTGTCAGTGTCCTTCTTGAACTGTGGTGCCCAGAACTGGACACAGTACTCCAGGTGAGGTCTGACCAGAGCAGAATACAGTGGCACTATTACTTCCCTTGATCTAGATACTATACTCCTATTGATGCAGCCCAGAATTGCATTGGCTTTTTAGCTGCTGCGTCACACTGTTGGCTCATGTCAAGTTTGTGGTCAACCAAGACTCCTAGATCCTTTTCACATGTACTGCTCTCAAGCCAGGTGTCACCCATCTTGTATTTGTGCCTCTCATTTTTTTGCCCAAGTGCAATACTTTACATTTCTCCCTGTTAAAATTCATCTTGTTTGTTTTGGCCCAGTTCTCTAATCTGTCAAGGTCATTTTGAAGTGTGATCCTGTCCTCTGGGGTGTTAGCCACCCCTCCCAGTTTGGTGTCATCTGCAAATTTGATCAGGATGCCCTTGAGTCCATCATCCAAGTCGTTGATAAAGATGTTGATGTTGAGGCATGGAGTTTATAGAATGACCTTGAGCCAGTGAAAATTAGTCAATGTAACTTACTTCACAAGGTTTTTATGATAATAAAATGGAGTAAACGTAAATATGCTTCCCTAAGCTTTTTGGAGAAAATATGGGGTACAAATGTGATAGGGCATAGTGTTCAAGAATCCCTGCTTTAGACACTACATTTTTACATCTTAGCTTTCTTCTTGAAACCAGTTGCAAGAGTTTAATGGGTCTCACACTTAAAAAAAACCAAAAATTTATTCTAAACCAGCATGCAAAATTTCATTCTTGTATCTTGTTGCTAAAGATTACACTATATTTTGCATCTTTTCTGGCTCCCGTGAAAATGGAAGCAAAACACAGAACAGTGTCCTGAACCTGCAAACCAACTTAATTTCTATTATTTCACCTTGGACATTCAGCTTGAACTTGAAACTTAAGTATGGTGTCCTGTACTTATGTGCCATGATTCATTATAACATCTTAATAATTCAGAAAGTTTTGTTACAAATAGAATGCCACACTGTCAAGTTAACCCAACGACATCACTTTGCCTGACCAATAAATCCCCAAATCTGTTCACTGGAACTCAACAGGTTTTGTACTGTTACGCGTTTGCACAGGTTTGATTACTGTGAATTCACCTAGCACCAGTTTGCCTAAAATATGGCCTAATAAGGGACCAGACAGGTTGCTAGTATTCCTAGAAAGCTAGGAATCTGCTCTGAACTGTGCAATATAGTACCTATCAAGGCCTGAATAAGAGTAATGGGTAAGCGGCTCTACAGAGGGAAGTGCTCATCTCAGGCAGATGATTGTGGGTGCCATGGAGGAAAAGAAATTTGTTACTTTTTCATTTATTGTTGTTGCATTTTTACTCCAAGGGAAAGGTGCTTGTGGGATTTCCTCTGTCAGTGATCACCCTTGGGTACTCCATAGTTTCTTCAGGGGGCCTCAGGCAGCACAATGTCTCAGACTGAGAAACCAGTCATTCAGTTTTCAAATGTGAGTGAAAGTGTCAAAGCCTGGCCACCAGCAGCTCTCAGAGGTGAGCCAACAGCTAGGAATTGAGTCTGTGACCAAGCCTGAGAATCACATCCAAGGAACACAGAAATAGTCCACAGCTGGGGAGACCTTGTTGTTGCTCCTCAGGCAAAGACCTAACCCAAACTGAAGCCCTTCACAGCCTTTCCTCTCTGTGAAGGCCCAAGTGCCAGCCTGGATGAAAAGGCTAATTCAGTGTCCAAGAATACTTTGCTGCCAAACTGCAGTAATGATGATCTATCTCTCTGTCTGTGTTTCTGTCTCTCTCTCTCTCTCTCTCTCTCTCTCTCTCTCTCTCTCTCACAAACACACACACACACATATATACACACACAAGACTGAAGTAGCTCCTTACCGAAAGAGTATACTCAGGAAATTTCAAGCTGGGTTTAGCTGAAAGAGGGGTGTAGTTTGAGGGATAAGCTTATCTCTAGGGATAAAATGCAAGGTTAGTGTATTTCCTGTTGAGAGGGTGTTTATTTGCTTTCAAAGAGCTCTGCATGCATTTTAGTAAATAATACAATATTCACAAAGGATACCATTGACATATATATTTATTTTGAAAAGTTATACCCCATGTTTCAATCAAATAACTCTTAACGAGCATCACAGAATGCATACACACAGCCCATAGACTCTTAGATCATCTCACCAATGCATATGACTAGAGCACAGGACTGCCTCAGGGATAGAGATCCATTTCCACACAAAGTGCGTGCAAAATAATCCTGAGGGTAAATTTATGTATCTGTGATTTCCCTCTAGTGGGGACAAGGCCCCTTCCTGTGAAAGCTCCAGAAACTCAGGATTGGTACAACCATCTCGGTACAACCACCAAGTCTGAACCTTTCTACTTTCCAATCCCCAATCCCCCCGCCCCCAATATTGCTCTAATCCAGCTCTCATAAAACAGGGAGACTGCCACTTTACATGTAACTTTTCCCCCTTCCTGGCTCTCTCTCTTTCTGTTGGTGACCTTCAGATACGTTGAACTATAGAGCTTATCAGCTCCCTTGCCCAATGGCAAGGGGTGGTGGTTAAGACCAAAAATGCTTATAAGCATGCAGACACCTGTAACTGAGACTCCACATTCTGGGATTAGGAGGATTGATTTGATATCTGACACCTGTCTTTAAAACAGGCTAGCACAACCCACCCAGTCAGGTTGTGCTCGCCTTTGTGGGCAACGAGTTGTGGCGCCTTGTTCCAGAATTTTGTATACAGCAGTTACCACTCTCTGGAATTCTCAGAGGTGAGCCTCTTTTCTCATTTGTTAGCACATCCCATTTACACTTCCAGAATCGCCTTTCAGGGGGGTGAGCAGATGCAAAGGAGAATGCAGCTCCTGAATTTCTAGTAACTGTGGAGAACAAGGAATTTCAGTAGATGCAGCTTGTTAGAAGGATGATAAAAGACCAACTAGTGGGAAGTCCCTCTTCTATGCAACTATTAAAGCTACAAAAAGCCCAGCCCTCTTCTGCGCCTGTTTGCCCCAGATATGACCTGGAAGATGATACCACCAGCGGGAACTGAAGCTCAAGGTACAGGAGGGATGCATCACAGAAGGCTGTAAAGATGTACTGGGAAAGTTTTATTGTCAAGGAGCTAGATACAGAGTCTTGAGACACTAGGCACATGTTGGGTGAAGAGAAAGGAATGAACCAAAATGCTGCTGTTTTAAGGGTTAATGCCAGACATATTTTGCTGGCACATGCTCATGCAATCAAACTATTCATTCAGCTGGTGTATGTTCATGATAACAACAAAATACACATGCCTCCTTTTTATTCATACTATGGATTCCATTATTAGAATCAGGCTTTTCATCAGTAACTCCCACTACGTTCACTGAAGCTCATGATCGCACATATTTACCCCTTTATCAGATTTCTATTAAAAAATAGCTTTACTCATCACAAAAGATCAGAATTAGAAAGGTGGCAAATCTGCTCCTCCAGCTTTATTATTTCGTTAAAGAGAGAAAAGGATGCTGTGAGATTAGCTCGACTGACAACTTGCTGCCTTCCTGCAGTTTTCCTATGTTAGACCAAAAACGCCACCCAGCATTTTCAATTTCTTTAAAAAAATACAAAGTGAAAAATATGACAGTCGGACTAGTTAATTAGCTGACTTGAGTATGCAAATCCTTTTTTTAGATGTACAAGCCATATTTTTCTAAAGAGGCAAGTGAAGACAGGAGTTTCAGATGTATCCTTAAACTTCCTCCAATACTGTCAAGATTATAATTGCACTTAGAGGAGATTAGCTGGGCTTGAAATAAAAAAATATAAAGTTTCCCTACCTTTAAAAGACAGCTACTATGGCTGCAAACATACTATACATGTAAAAAAAACCATTTGCTTCCCCCAAAGTATTCTGGGAACTGTAGTTTACCCAAACTAGAGAGCTAAAGGTGATGTGAATCACAGCTCTGAAAAGAAGAGAAAATAATACCAATACACAAAGAAAATAGCTGCATACAAAACTTCACCACAGGCAATGACTCACCTGTATCCATTGGGCTGGTTCTTGAGACACTTCAAAATTAAAAGACCCCACACTGTTTTCCATCTGTGGTTGTGCAGACACTCCCACTAGGACATTCTGAATATACCTCAGGGCTTGTTCCCATAGCACTAAAAATGGTTTGGGCATCATGTGTGGATGCTGCCACTGTCAAGGCCAAATCCCATCATCCCATCAATGTGTGACTGTCATCAGAAAACACTCAGCCCACACCAAGTTCTATAGCCAGCAGTGCATGTTGAGTCAAGTCATGTGACTGCAACCAGTCCTGCACTTTTCGCATATCACGGTGGGTGGAAATAAATGGGCACTTGGAATAGCATGCTAAATGCCAATCTGCATTAATTTCAGCATTGTCAGGCAGTATCAGAAAACACATGAACACACACACACACTTAGTGGTAGCTGTGGACTAGGCAAGGGTGTCTATGTGAACTTTCCCATGATCCCTACAGCCACATTCTGAAACACCCCACTACTAGACAAATGAAGTATAGAAAAATAGTAATGAGGAAAGAGGAAAATGAGGGCTTTTTAGTGGCGAGAAAGGAAAGGCTGTGTCCCACTGATTTGAGACAGGGTGCTGCTTTAAACTTTTATAGCATCTGACTCCACTTGGACAGAAGATGAAGTGTTTATTATTCACTGAATTTTTATCCCGCCCTTCCTCCCCAAGGAGCTCAGAGTAACACACAGGATTAAATTTCACAACATTCATTTCCATTTATCATTAATGCCACCATATCTGAATGCATAAATCTGATTATTAATTATATTTTGGTTTGCTGAATTGATTAATTGGCAGGTGCCAGGTCCTGATCTTTTGGAGAGCTCTTAATTTTTTGAGTATATCCAAGTGTGTTTTTCAAATAACCTTCTCAGTCACAATGAAGAATTTGCTGTGTTTCGGGGAAATATGCCAATGCAATTCATCAGCTTTTGACAATGAGATTGCTCTGAAATGCTTCTCTCTTGTAGCTAAAAATACGGAGGGAAGAGGGAGTCATTCAACCAATCAACAATTAATTTAAAATGTGGGACCAGAATCCAATTCTGCATGGTATATGAACTGCACGCCTTGCACTGCAGAAAGAAATATTGCCCTGAACAACCAGAATTTTGCCTAAAGAGTCACTGAAGCCACTGAAGGCCATTTTCTCAAAACTAAATGAAATCCCTCACTTAGGAGTGCCACATTTCTAGGGCTTGGATTTCCCATTCCACTTTATTTCGCTTTTCTCCTTTTAAGAGATGCTATAGAAGCTTATACTTATGAAAGACAACAGCATTTACCAATTATAAACACAGAAATGAAAATACTGTGATTGGCAGGAGTATGTAGACGCATGCTGCAAAGGATAATTTTGTGCTGTGGTGGACATCTCAGAAAACCTCAAAAAACTTAGCATGTTTAAAGTGAGAATCAACTAGTATACATAGCAGCTTCTGACCCAGAAGTGCACCCCTTATCTCAACTAAACACACTGTTATGAGGGAGAAAAGAATATGCAGCCAGTTACCAGAATACATGTTCTTCTTGCTATACATTTCTTTCTAAGGTGTGGGACTACTTCACTTATTTTGCATTTAGTAGCTGTGGAAGCCTAAACCTCACAATCTTCTCAGTTGTGCCTATAATGAAGACTCAGATAGGTTTTCTTTAAAGGCTTAACAGGAAAAGGGTTTGCATCTGGCTAACGGACAAGATTTAATCTTTAGGTGCTAGTAGACTTTTGTCAAGTCTATCTCACTCAGCATACACAAATTCATGTTTACTGTTGTGCAATAAGTAACCTTAAGAGTAGAGGAGCCACTTCCTTTTACAGGAAATCCCTTTCTAGGCAACGCTAGTAAGCAGAACTCCAATTTTTCAACAAGAAGGCTGTGTTGGTATTTAGGAAGAGATTGCCTCATGGCTAGTTAGTGATGGATAGCTCACCTTTAGCTTCCCCACAGCAGGGTGACTGTACTCTCCTCTTTCTACACTTGGCTCCATTAAAGCAGAATTGTATAGGACATTGTCCATTTTAGTGGAGGCACAATATATGTGTGTGAAAGAATCTGCAGGAAGCTAAATAAAACCCAACTGTCACTCCCCTTTCCCCACATCAACCATGATCAAGGAGATTTGTGATAATCTTTTTATCCTGATCCAGCCCCCCACCCCAACATGAGTTTACCAGAGGCACCTAAGAGAGAGCGCCAAATGAGGATAGGAAGGTGTGAGTTACAACTCCCATCATCCCTGACCATTAACCATGTTGGCTGGGGCTGATGGGAGTTGGAGTCAATGATGTATGCAGCATGATAGGATCCCAGTCCCTGGATGACACAGTTATCTGTCACCTTTGGCTTTGCAGACTTTCTAACTGATCACCTCCAATATTCCACTGAGGTTGAATATTGAAGAAAGGGGTCATATTTCAAACCTAGGGTATGATCCATCTTAGAGCATACCTGCATATGGGGAGGGATCAGCATAAGGATCAATAGAGCCCTGTTGCTTCCCTTAGTGTGTGAATCCTGCAATGTCTAGGCCATTATCAAGAACAGAGGGCCGCAGTTTCCCCATCATTGATGTAATCCATTTGCATTTCAGATTTTATCAAACAAAAACTCCGCCATTTCATGTGTTTAGTTCCATCACTGTCAAATGAAGCCTCTGGTAAGAGAGCTGAGATAGAAAAGGAAACACTAAGTATATTTTCTTTATGCAAAGAATAGATGTAAGGACAGATTTCTTTTTAAAGAACAGATTTTGGCAATTGTGGTTTTGGCAGTCATAGCTGGTGACTTGACACACACACCTCCCGGCAAAAAAGGCTGGTGGCTTGCCCCAGAGAGGCCTAGGCACTGCTTTCTCTACTCCTCTTCCTTAAGTTTTGCCTTGTCCCTCACCCTTATGTATCACACGCTGGAACACACTGGCTCAAAATAAATCATGAAGCACCTAGAAATTGAAGAATTATTCCAGCTCTAATGAAAAGTATGTGGTAAGTGCATTTTATTCCAAACCCAAACAGAATATGAGCACTATACCAGGGCAATTCGTGGGTCTTCATTTTGAAAGAAGATGCTGTGCCTATTCATACGGAGGTTCCCTGTGCTACTGAAGGCATAGAATCAAAGCATGGTCAGGGTTCTGATCCATATTAAACTTATTTAAAGGAGGCCCATTGAAATTAATGAACCTGAGTTAGTTGTGCGCATTAACATCAGTAGGTCTACTCTGAGCTGGACTGGCACCGGATGCAACCTGCAGAAATTTGTATGTGAGCACAATGGCAGTTTTGCTGTAGGTTTAGAAGCAGAAGCAGCTTTGGGATTTGACAAATAAGTGTGTCAGATGTAAATGTGCAGGTATTTGTCTTGAGCAGGAGAGCTGACCCCGGAACAATTAATGTGCTGTGTGTGCACGTACATTTATCAAGCCTCCCCAGAGGAACCCATCACTCTTCCTTCATCCTTATTTTAATCTGTAGTGTAACAACAGTGCATTTTCAGACCAACACTTCACCATGTGTATGTTTCTTTAGTCAAAGACAAATGCAAAAAGCAGCATAGCCATAGCAATAATAGGGTACCCAAGGTAAAAAAAAATTAAGCAGGAAGCCTTTAAGGAGTTAGCTTCTTCAAGAGCAAGAAGAGTTTGATACAAATGGTAGATAGAATTATATATTTTATTGGACCAGCTACCTGCTCAGAGTTTTACAAGCTTTCCGCTTCTTTTTCTTCATGGAATCCTGGCCAAAAACAGAAGCAAGCAAAATCAGATCTTGCTATAGCCTGGGAGTCAGAAAGATGACAGCAGGCTATAATCTGATTTGGGCATGATGAGTTAAGCTACCCATCTGACTGCTGCCTTCCACCATACAGACTGGTGATTTTGTGATGTACAGTATTGCACCCTTTCTCCATTACTGGCCTATAGTGCCATAGAAAGAAAGTCCAGAGGCCTTATATATAAATGCAGTGTAGAGAGGGTGCACTTTTTAGGTTCTATGTTAGACTGTATGTTCTTAACTGGGGTGGGGGGAGACACTAGGCATAACCCAAGCAAGATTAGGAACACTGAACACCTTCAATAGAATATAGTACTTTAGTGATTGTGCTCACTCTAATAGTCTCCCTTATTCCTCAAGAGAGAATCAAAAAGCACAATTGCCCCTTTGCATGAAAACAGATATGCTTGCTCTATTACAGCCTAAGTCTACTCAAATAGTTGAATTCATTTCAGATTTCTACAAGCTGAAACTATGCTGTGTAACACAGCATAATGTATTCAAGCAAGGGATTCCAATTTTTCATAACTCTGAAACCAAGCTCTAGGACAGTCCTTTGAATTAGCCTTGGAAACTTTTAAAGCCTGACATTCAACTTAATTTGAAACAGTTTTTCCTCAACACATCCTGCATTGTTCCAGACTTTACATAGAAGAGGGAGGAGGGAGTAAAGAGAGATGACGCTGATGGATCTAACAACTCAAGATGGATATAGGCATGATTTCCTAAACATTATAATTGGAAACATTTAAATACAAAACAAGCTCTCTCTCTCTCTCTCTCTCTCTCTCTCTCTCTCTCTTTGGAAGTGGGATAAAAGAAAACTGGATCTGGGTCTCCCTGACCCCACAATCCCGGAGTAGAGCACTTCATATCTAGACCTTTTTGAAAGACATAACAATTCATTTTATAACAATTAAAAAGGAGTACAGTGTAAAGAAATGAAGGAAGTGTGGGCCCCTGTCTTCCAAGCTCATCCCTTTCCTCCAATTTGGTAGCAGAAGAATTTGTATGCCAGTTATAAGGCCCACAATATTTCACAGTTGATGTGGCTTTTGGAAGGGGATGAAGAAAATATCCAGGCCAATGTCCCTTCACTGCTTTATCTTCCTTTCCCATAGCGCTCTGCTCTTCGCTCTCCCGTTGCTGGAAAACTACATGCCATAGATACTGGTATGCCACTTATTTTCTCACCTGATTGGCTAAAAAACCCAAAAAACTTTGGGACATAGTTCTAACATATGCTGCCCTAGAAAAGCAACTAAACTCTTGCCCATCCAAGGGCAGCACATGGTGATGAAGGGAGTTGATCTCTGCTGAAGTGGTGTTTTCAAGAACCACCCATCAGCCACCTGGTGGTGCCTGATGAAAATTTTCCAAGTGCAGCCAATTGCTGCCCGAGCTGGGATTGCAACTGGTGCCAGTTAGCTGGTGGGCAGGGCTTTCAAAGTCATCGTGACATCAGAGGAGGGAGGCCCCGCCTACCTATCTGATCTGCACTTCCTGGATGAATAAGCAGACTAAAACACAGTTATCCTTCAGATTTCAGACTTCTCCAAGTTCTGTGGTGCATTTTTCATCTCAAAGACCATACCAAAATGTGTACAAAGAAACAGAGATTTTAGAATAACATACGTTATGTGGACTTGGTGAGAAGATATTTCAAAAATATGCCCTGAAAGATGAATGTTCATGCAGATCTTATTTTGTAAGGGAAGCAGATTAATACAGAAATAGGATAAAACTCATGTGATACCAACGTATTCAGGAAATAGACTGAGCCATCAGTGGCCTCAGCTCAACTGTACATAAAACACTTCATCTGAATATATGCACACAAGCAAGTATTTGAATGGAAGCCCCGCTGACGTGAATTCCCCTTACGTGAGGCCCTCCCTTGCAGTGTCTTATTATAACTGCTATTTTTATCCTTCTATCCTCTTTAGCATTCTTTTTCAAAATGCCACCCCTTCTAGGTCACCTTTAGTGTCAATGGCCCTTTGTCATTCATTTGCGTACTTTCATAGGAGAAAAATGTAGGTGACTGATTTCCATCTCAGGCTTTAATCCTCATCTCTCACTGTCCCCTTTGATTTCTGGCAGGGCTCCTGGCTGCTCCTGCACCATCAGCTTTGCTTGAAGGCATGGTTTTTCTTCAGCAAAGCTGGCTTGGCAGCTCTGTAGCTCCTGAAGGACATTTCTACCTGATAAATAAGGGTGTACTGGATTTTTCCAGACCTTTTCCATTCTACTTATTGGATTTTTAATTCCAACTGGCCTCACTTTTGTTTCCCACACTATAAGTATACCTGTACACACACACACACACACACACACACACACACACACACACATTTCCATGCTTCCATCTTCTAGCATGAGTAAGCATTAGGCCCTGAGAGAGGGCATTGCTCCTAGTCCCTGCCTCTTCAACACATCCCCATTTAAAATGGATGCATGTTTAGCTTCCTGAGCCTTTGGGATGAGCTCCTGCAAAATAAAAGCAAGCAGGAAGAAAATGCACTACTGGTCAAGCAGTTTCCACATGGAGTGCAAGTTCCCCAAGGGAGGCACCGGTAAAATCTTCGGTGATGCTGAAATTCTCAGATAGCAATTCCTGCTCAAATTGTTGCACAAAAAAAGCCCTGCTAACCACTCTTGCCTAAACAGTAGCAGCTAACCAGAGTCAAATTTTCTTCTTCTTCATTGGCAGTACATACTGGTTGTGTGTGGTTTACCATGGCAGCCAGCACACATGGTGCTATTCCACGTGTCCTGCTGACTCTACTAAGCTTCTGAGCAAGATAATACCTATAGGCTTTCATCAACCATCTTGAAAGCATGCTTACTTACTCCACGCGGAAAAGAAAACAATACACAACCTGATGTTATGCACCTTAAATTAAGAACTTCACAATTTCAGTACTTTAGTCATTGTCAGAGTATATTACGTGTCTTTTGATTACAAAGTAAGACTGTGCCTGAAGTAGAAGTTCTACCATTTCATCTTCGTCATTTCTCATCAGTTTGTGAGATCACACCAGCAGCCCAGCCACTTCATCTGCTCTGAAAAACACTTCTATAAATCCCAACTACAGAGTTTTGGCAAATTCTGTCCCCTTGCACTCCTCAAACTGCGAATGGGCATTGAGATCAGCAGTCTTTTGTGGGGGTTTTTTGGAGGGGGATTAACATTTCGCAGGAGTTGCCATTCACATTTGTAAAGAAAGCATTGAAAAGCCAGCTCAACTGTCAGCAATGGAAACATTTGAGCATGGTGACTGTTTGCAAAAGTTAGTTTACTAACAAATACTGGTTTTCAAAGAGTGGCAATTTATTGCACATTTTATTTCCTCTTCTTGTTCTTGAAAAGTAGCCACTTGCATGAGCCCAATGTAAATCATAAAAAGGAAAGGTAAGGGGACCCCTGACCATTAGGTCCAGTCGTGGCCGACTCTGGGGTTGCGGCGCTCATCTCGCTTTATTGGCCAAGAAAGCCGGTGTACAGCTTCCGGAAACACCATTTACCTTCCCACCGCAGAGGTACCTATTTATCTACTTGCACTGGTGTGCTTTCGAACTGCTAGGTTGGCAGGAGCAGGGACCAAGCAACGGGAGCTCACCCTGTCATGGGGATTTGAACTGCCGACCTTCTGATCGGCAAGTCCTAGGCTCTGTGGTTTAACCCACAGCGCCACCCGTGTCCCTTAAAGTAAATCATACTGGGCTTCAAACACTGTGGTCCAGTTCATGGGGCAAGTGGCAGAGCAGGAAAACATGGACAAAAGCTTTTCCTGCTAGTTTAAAAGCATTTTAACCATTTCTTTAAAAACCCATTACATATCGCCCCAAAATTTTATTTTATTTTTCCCCTTCAATGAGATTTCACCACCAGAATTTCCAAGACTGAAATATGTGGAAGTGGGACCATTGCTCAGTAGACAAACATATATACTTTGCATACAGAAGGTACCAGGCTCAGACTTTGGCATCTCCAGGGACCGAACCCAGTCTGAAAGGATAGAAAGCAAATGCCTATCAGTTCGTGCTAGATGGAACAAGAATGGACTGATCTGAATTAAAGCAACTTTCCAAGCTTGATAATATTTTGCATTCACCCTGTAGAAAAGGTAATTAAAATGTCCACATACCTAAGCTTTAAGTTATTATCCATTCCATTGCAGTGTCAACAGATGTCCCTTGTTTTCAGAGAGACCTTCTATTTTAAAAGCCTATTCCTTGATCAGGAACATTACAGAGGCTTCAAAAGCAATGTACCCTTTACTTCAACACACTGGAGTTCCATATTTGTCACGTTTATGGACTAACTTTCCTTTTCCATAGTGAAACACAAGATCCTATTTAAATGGACACAGGCTTTCTTAGTTAGTGGGCCTAAGTAAAATCTAATATATATTTCCTACAACTTTACTATATAAAGCACTGTAACCCCCAACTAACAAAAGCCAGACACAAACAAGGAGCTCCTGAGAAGACTCTGGTGCCTCTCTAAGGAGTTTCAGTACCCTTGAGGAATCATCACCCTATGACATCTGACTGGAATGATTAGGTACACTCGTAAGCACTCTTAGGCATTTGTCTTCTCTATTCAGCTATGGATTGGGACCACGTGAGACCTCCATGGCTTAAGCACTTTCAAAAAAGATCTTTATTAAGCTAATTTCTTAGAGACTTAACCACAATATGAAACAAAACCAACATATTTTGAGAAATTAATTAAGGGGGGGGGAGGAACACCTATTGTCAAACAGACATTAATTGCACTTGAAATATGGTAAAAGGTAAAGGTTAAGTCCAGTCAAAGGTGACTATGGGGTTGCGGTGCTCATCTCGCTTTCAGGCCAAGGGAACCGGCGTTTGTCCACAGACAGCTTTCCGGGTCATGTGGCCAGCATGACTAAACCGCTTCTGGCGTAATGGAACACCGTGGTGAAACCAGAGCGCACAGAAATGCCGTTTACCTTCCCGCCACAGTGGTACCTATTTATCTACTTGCACCAGTGTGCTTTTGAACTGCTAGGTTGGCAGGATCTGGGACAGAGCAACAGGAACTCACCTTGTTGTGGGGATTTGAACCCCCAACCTTCTGATCAGCAAGCTCAAGAGGCTCAGTGGTTTAGACCACAGCACCACCCGCATCCCTATGATATGGAAGCTGACCTAGTGAAGGGATTTATGATTATGTGGGTACAGAATACAGGACAAAATATACCACTTGAAGTATGGGGAAACACACATGAAGAGAAAAATGCTATAAAGTGATGGCAAGGTGGCATATGATAATAAGCAAAATAAATAGAAACTACCCACACATATACTAGAAATGCCAGAAAGAGAGAAAGGGTCACTATCATATATGGCAGCAATTCCAGTTACCAAGGATATACAGTAGAGTAGACCACCAATTTACACACATGTAACTTGTGCACATTCAGCTTTACACACATGGCAAAAAAAAGGGGGGGGAGGGTGTTGGGGGGGGGAACTTTGACAATCCCTCCCACTATTGTACCCAATGTGTTTTGACTATGCATGGTTTTGGCTTTATGTGTTTTCCTTCAAATGTAACCTCCGCATAAGTTGCGGGTATACTGTACTGCAAAAAGATAAATTACCTAATATCAAAAATTCTAGGTTATAATGTTGCATTAGACCCAGTACAGTTGTACCTTGGATCCCAAATGCCTTGGTACTCAGACGTTTTGGCTCCCGAACGCTACAAACCTGGATGTGAGTGTTCCGGTTTGTGAACGTTCTTTGGAACCCGAATGTCCGATGTGGCTTCCATGGCTTCCGATTGGCTGCAGGAGCTTCCAACAGCCAATCGGAAGCCGTGCTTTGGTTTCCGAACGTTTTGGAAGTCGAATGGATTTCCATAACAGATTCCATTCAACTTCTGAGGTACGACTGCATTTTCTCTCTCTCATTCTCTCTCTCTCTCTCTCTCTCTCTCTCTCTCTCTCTCTCTCTCTCTGACTATATGGATAGTGCTGTAAGGCAGGAACATAAAGAGTTAACTTCCTACCTGCCTAGCAAGCCAATGCAGATCCTAAATGCTAGTCTAGTGTGTCAAGGGAAAAGGCCTTCTCCTTCTGCACATGATGTATCTTCTAAAGACCATTATTCAAAACTGTTGTAGACCTAAGAATCTTAATCACTTTTTAGTAGATATATGTGTGCACATATGGGCATACATGCATACACACATACACATGCCAGTTACTGAGAAATAACTTCACTTTTTTGAAGTGTGAATTCTAAAACCAGGTTCAGCCAGCGGAAACTGTACATGCAATAAGGTTTTTCTAAAATGGCAGTCAGCAAAAAGAGCAACATGTTTAAACATACCACAACAGGTTTGATTTATGTAAACATTTATGTAATAGTTTAACCATTTAACATCTCCTCGCTTGGAAGAAAGCCACTATGAGAGTAAATAGGCCACAGGTGACACTGAGTGTTATTGGCTCTTCTAGTTCTCTGTGAGGATATTTGGGAAATAGTCAGATAAGGCCATTCTGGATTTCACCAGATCATTCTTCGGTGCAAAGATGAGAGAGCTGAAAAGGCCAATCAGATCCCTTTTTCTGCGGCAAAAGCCCAATTTAGATAATATAGGGATGTAAATCACTGCCATGCCTTCTTCATGGCCTGGAACTGACAGGCGCTATGTGTCTGGGCTGATTCACATGGTATGAAGTTCACATAATGAGCTGCTGCCAAAACAGACTGACTCCAGGAGTATTTGCGCCACTCACCCCTAGACATTTCCCAGGAGAAACTGGCACTCTTCACTCCACATCCTGGGAGGCAAAAGCCACTATTGGGAAAGGGCGGTGTTACAAAGATAATTAGATGTTACACACGTATGTGTTTCATTTTACAAATATTTGCATTGTTTTTTAAATCACTTGGAAGAGATACTGAGTGACTGACGATGGGCAGATCAATGCCAAGTAGGGTCACTGGGTAGGAAAGTGGCAGATTTTTTTAAACCCAAAAGGGGTGTCTTTCTTTTTTCTTTCACCCTAGCAGATTTCAATTTTGAAACATAATCCCCATTGATATCAAGGTGGGGCAGATGATGGGCCCAATCATGGGGCCTCAGGTGACCAATGGGGTTTTGGATCTGCAGGACCCAAACCTTCTGTTCTGTTTCTGCCCCACAGCAGGAATGCCCTGTTTTGGTGCTGAAAGACAGCTAGCACCACCAAAGCACACCAACAGTGGTAGATCTGTGCTCATGGGAGCTTTCCCTGGCTGTAGTAGGAATCTCTGCAATGGGTGTTTTCCTCTCAACAGGTAAGCAACAGGTAAGGCTTCTTTCTGTTGGTGGAGGAACATCTCCCTCCCATCCAAACCTTCCTCCGGGCAGCATCTCTGTGGATTATAATTGTTCTGTTACTGACTAAATAACAGATGGGTAGGAAGACAAAAATCATCTCCTTCTATTTTGCACATCAATACTATTTTTGTACTGGTCTCCTTCTATTTTTTGATTTAGCCAACGGGAGGGGGAACGATAAGATGAAAAATAATGCAATGGAAGAAACCTGCTTTATTTCAGTGAGAAATCTCAAAACCCAAGATGGTTTTCCCAGTATGGGTGATTTAAGCACCTCGGCCTCTTTAGATGATGCATCAAAAACGAGACTGTGCATATAAGCTTGGAATGGCAAGCGCTGGGTGCAATGCCCTGGGTGCATATAAGCATCTCTACCCTGGAAACTTAGTGGTGCAAAAAGAAAAGAAAAAGAAGTGGCCCACATACTCAGAGCTATTTTCGTACCATTGCTTCATAATGCTAGTGCCTAATATTAAGAAAACTTTGGGTGCT